TATAGAAAAAGTAAAAAGGAATGAGCAAAGTGTACAGGAAATATGGGACTATGTGAAAAGACCTAATTTACGTTTGATAGGTGTACCTGAATGTCATGAAGAGAATGAATCCAAGCTGGAAAATATTTTTCAAGTTATTATTCAGGAAAACTTTCCTAATCTAGTAAGGCAGGACAATACTCAACTCCAGGCAATACAGAGACCACCACAAAGATATTCCTCAAGAAGAGCAACCCCAAGACACATAATCGTTAGATTCACCAGGGTTGAAATAAAGGAGAAAATTCTAAGGGCAGCTAGAGAGAAAGGTCAGGTTATCCATAAAGGGAAGCCTATCAGACTCACAGCAGATCTCTCAGCAGAGACCCTACAAGCTAGAAGAGAGTGGGGGTCAATATTCAATATCCTCAAAGAAAAGAATTTTCAACCCAGAATCTCATATCCAGCCAAACTAAGTTTCATAAATGAAGGAAAAATAAAATTTTTTGCGAACAAGCAAGTACTCAGAGATTTCATTACCACCAGGCCTGCTTTACAAGAGCTTCTGAAAAAAGCACTACACACAGAAAGGAACAACCAGTATCAGTCATCCCAAAAACTTACCAAAAGTTAAAGGGTATCTTTATAATGAAGAATCTATATCAACTGATGGGCAAAATAGCCAGCTAGCATTAAATGACAATATTAAACTCATGAATGCCAATATTAATCCTAAATTTAAATGGATTAAATGCCCCAATCAAAGACACAGACACGTAAGTTGAATAAAAAGTCAAAACTCATCGGCATGCTGTGTCCAGATCCATCTCATAAGCAAGGACACACAAAGATTCTAAACAAAAGGTTGGAGGAAGACTCACCAATCAAATGAAGAGCAAAAAAAAAAAAAAAAAAAAAAAACATAAAAAAAACAGGAGTTGTAACTTTCGTCTCTGACAAAATAGACTTTAATAGTAACAAAGACTAAAAGAAACAAAGGACATTACATAATGGTAAAAGGATCAATGCAACAACAGGACTCAATGATCATAAATAAATATGCACCTAATATAGGAGCACCCAGATACATAAGATAAGCTCTTAATGACTTATAAAGAGACTTAGACTCCCACACAATAATAATGGGAGACTTCAACATTAATATTAGACAAATCAACGAGACAGAAAATTAACAAGGATATCCAGGACTTGAACTCAGATCCTGAACAAGTAAACTTAATAAACATTTATAGAACTCTCCACTTTAAATACACAAAATACACACTCTTATCAAGTACCACATCACACCTGCTCACAGGTTTAAATGAAATATTGGTTGGCTGCTTGTTTGTTATTTTCCTCCCTCTTTTTTTTTATTTTTTATTTTTTTTTCCTGTTTCCATTATTAAGCATAAAAGAGGTTTTCAATACCCATTTTTAGACTGCATTCTACCCCGGGCAATAAAGTAACACTTCCGTTCTCTCTCCCTCTTCCTCTTCCTCTTTCTTCCTCTCCTTCATTTTTTTAATTATTATTATTATTATTTTTCTTTCTTTCTTTCTTTCTTTTTTTAAAATTCTTATATATATAAATAAATAAGCTCTGTCTATATGTATAGCTAAGAAAGAAGGATTTAGGCTTATCTTTCTTTTCATTTTTTATTTGTATAAGCCATATATTATATATGCTATATATATAACATATATATAGCTTATATAAAGAAAAAGAGGAAAGAACAATAAGCCAGAATGAATCTATATTGGGAAGTGGAAGAAACAGATGGAAGGAATATAAAGAAAGGATATCAGCATTTAACAACTCCTAATAAAATAATGAATCAATGGCTTCTAACATCGCAAAGAGAAAAGCACCAAATATTATGCACCTCCTGATGGATGTATGAACATGTCCTACAAATAATTCCTGCCAAGGCCAGACACAGTGGCTCACCCCTGTAATCCCAGCACTTTCGGAGGCTGAGGTGAGAGGATCACTTGAGACTAGGAGTTCAAGACCAGCTTGGTCAACATAGACAGACCTTATCCCTATAAAAAAATTTTAAAAGTTAGTGTGCGCCTGTAGTCCCAGCCACTTGGGAGGCTGAGGCTGGAGGATTGCTTCAGCCCAGGAGTGGGAGGCTGCAGTGAGCTTTGATAGTACTGCTGCAGTGAGCTTTGATAGTGCCGCTGCACTCTGGCCTGGGCAACAGAGCAAGACCATGTTCTTACAACAAATAAAATAGCAATTTGATCAAACCTCTAGATCTAAATACCAATGTGTAGGCAGTATGGGGGAGAGGAACATGTTAAAACAGAACAAACACATGTGGTTGCAATAAGCAAAGTCCAGACTGAAAAATTCTACAAATCAAATGAGTCACTTTATTAAAACCATAAATTGCAAAGAAAAGCAGAAGCGAGATGGAGGAGCAACCTATAGAAAAAGAGACTTAAAGATGTATTTACCATTTGTGAACTCTTTTTTTTTTTTTTGGAGTCTGGTTCTCTTGCTCAGGCTAGAGTGCAATGGTGCGATTTTGGCTTACTGCAACTTCCATCTCCCGGATTCAAGCAGTTCTCCCTCCTCAGGCTCCCAAGTAGCTGGGATTATAGGCATCTGCCATCATGCCAGGCTAATTTTTGTATTTTTGTAGAGATGGGGCTTCTCTATGTTGGCCAGGCTGGTCTTCAACTCCTGACCTCAGGTGATCTGCCTACCTCAGCTTCCCAAAGGGCTGAGATTACAGGCATGAGCCACCGCACCTGGCCACCCACTTGTGGACTTCGATTGGATTCTGGCTTAAGAAACAAACAGAAGGGAGAGAGAAATCCTTTATGAAGCATTGAGGAAAATTTGATCATTGACTAGATAATTGATAATGGTAAACAATTGTTATTATTATTTTACAGACATAGATCCAGTATCATAGATTTGACTTCATAACCTTACTCACATGTCTCAGATTAGTGTTAGCTGTAGGTGGGCCCTCAGTTGTGGTGATCAAAGGTAATGGATAGGAATATGAATACAAGATTTGCCATGAGTTGATAATTGGTAAATCTGGGTGTAGCGCACATGAGGATTCATTATACTATTCTCTCCACTTGTGTTTGAAACTTTCTATAATAAAACATTAAAACAAAACAGTAGAAGTTTTTTTTAAGATAAGGAAACTTTTTTTTTTTTTAACACTCCTAGTAAACTCTATAAAATACTAGAGTTGTGGTGACTCATTCTGTAATTACGAGAGGGACAAAGCCAAAACATTCTTTTTTTAATGAGATAGGGTCTTGCTCTGTCTCCTAGGCTGGAGTACAGTGGCATGAACATGACTTGCTGCAGTCTCGACTTCCTGGGCTCAAGTGATCCTCCTGCCTCAGCCTCCCATGTAGCTGGGACCGCAGGCATTCACCACCACACTTGGCTAATTTTTTAAAATTTTTTTGTAGAGACGAGGTTCTCACTTTGCTGCCCAGGCTGGTCTCAAACTCCTGGCTTCAAGTGATCCTCCCGCTTTGGCCTCTCAAAGTGCTGCGAATACAGGTGTGGGCCACTGTGCCTGGCCCAAGAGCATTTTGTCATGCTCTTGGTGGAGCATGACAACAGGTACTATCAGGGTCTTGATGACTGAGCCACGGAATAAGCCAACCTTGGATATCTAGTTATATAACAACTATCCATCCAGTTATATAATAACAATCTCTGTTGTTTAGTTCCTTTTGAGTATGTTTCTGTTATTTATAGTAGAAAATGGAGGAAAATGCATTTGCATGAGTGTGCAAGGTCTCATTGCCCTCTAGCTGAAGAGTGATACAACTCCAGAATCCTATTCTTAGAGCCTGCTTCCTAGGATCACATCCAGTACCAATGATCTAAAGTGACGTTCCCTAGAAACAGGGATTCTTCTGCAAGTCATTTATGAGAGGAGTGTTCCCAGGAGAATGGAGGCGGGAAAGCAGAAAAGAACAGGGGGAAGAGCTAAGCAGGGAAGTCATCTCAGCTGCAGACCAGCTTCAATCTGCCCCTTGGGGTGGGCTGGAGCATGAGCTGTTGAGTTGTACTGCAGCGTCGGCGCCCCTTTTCTGTGGCAGTCAGTTCTTGGTTGTGAACTGCCTATGGTGAGGGTGGGGTGTGGAGTGTGACATTTATAGCAGCTGGGGTTAAATTTACTCAGTTAAGGGGCCCAATTAATGGGATCTAGGCAGAGCATCAGCAGTGTCCACTACAATTTCCAAACTTACTCCGTAGCCGAAACCTTACATGACCCTGCATGATCTAGCCCACCCCGCCCGCCTACTTTCTCTCAGACCATCTCTGGGTACTCTCCCTCTTTTTCACTCCACTTTAGCCACATTGGCCACCTCACAATTCCTCAAATTCCCAGCATATTCCTGTTTCAGATCGTTTGCCCTTTTCTGTTCACTTACCTGGCTGTTCCCAATAACTCCAACCATGAGATGGTCCCTTATATATATTTCAGGTCTCTATACAAAAGACACCTTCCTAGTAAGGTCTCATTTGGCCATCCTATCTAAAATTACAACTCCCACCTCGAACTAACACCTAACAATCCTTTTATTTTCATTACTTTTATCTTTAGCACTTATCAGTATCTAACATACTGTATCATTTTCTCATTTGTCTTATTACCCGGTTCCACTCTAGAATATAAACTGGGGAGCGCTTAAAACAATACCTATTATGTTGTAAGTGCTCAGCTAATACTTGCTGAACACGTGAATGAATGAATGAATGAATGATTCCTGGCACAAAGTGTTAATCTTCAATGAATATTGAACTGAACTGAAACCAAAAGGATCAAAAGGATCTCCACGTCCTCTATGTAAGTACTATAGATGGGAGAGGGCACACATATTGTTATATGCAGGCTTCTACATAGATTATATGCTCTTTCTTCAATAATATGAAAGCTTAAATTTCTTTATGTGATGTTATGTATGTGTATGTTTATATATATTATTTGTACATGTAAATATTAGTGAAAAAAAGTAGAAACACCAAAGCTTTTCTAATTTTATTTGACTCAAACTATATTTTGGATCTACATACCATACGATAAAGTAAGCTGAAGGCATAGCACAATAAGTGAATACAGATTGTGTGGATAACTCAATTTATCTAATAAAAAATATAAATTTGAAGATGACTGTGATAAAAGAAAAATGTCTAGAAAAAAAAACCAAAGGTGAAACTATTTAAGTTCTTTACTGCAATGCCATATTCTGATCTCAGACAGTAGAAGAGTAATAAGAAATGTACAATCTCAAGTCTCTCAGACCTAAAATCTATCAGTGGATGCCAAAAATCTTCAAGACACATTAACGTTTTCTAGAAAATAATAAGTCTTTTTTTTTTTTAAACTAAGTATACTAAAAACGCAAAAGCACTTATCAGACACTCTATGGCATTTGTTGCTGAAATGTCTACCAGCAGATTAGCCTTGAGCTGAAGAAGCCTCGGAGCCAACACTGGCTTCCTCCTGTGAATCATCTCCAGCAGAGGACTCTGACTCAGCTGGAGAATTTTCTTCTTCTAGTTCAGCATATTCATCAGCGCTTCGGTTCTCTGTTGTATCTTTATCATCATCGATGGTGACAGCTTCATCCAGGGCTGCATTTGTAACCTCGGGGGTTGTTTCAGGGTTGACTTCTGCGGCTTCCCCTGCCGCAGCTGCATCTGTGACCTCTGGCCCGGTTTCAGCACTGACTGCTGTGGTCTCCGGAGCAGCCTCCACGTGACCTGGACATGCAGATGTTTCTTTTATGACTACAGCTGTAGCACTTGGACTTTCTTCAGCATCCACCACCTCAGCTTCCACTACAAGTACTTCTGGGGCTTCTGAACTTGCTTTCTCAGTTTCTGCAACATTCTCCTTTTCACCTTTAAGAATTAGTCATTAAGCAAGGTATTAATTTAAAGATAATTAAAGGCAATGAAACACGGCGGTCATTCAAACACATAAGACAGATCTACATGCACTGATGTGTAATAGTCTTCAAAGTAGACTCTCAAGTGAAACAGCAAAAAAGAACAACATATATAGTATGCTACCATTGTGTTAGGACAAAATGGTGGGGGAGCGGAAAGGGGTAAGTTGTATGTCTAGATAATTGTATTTGCAAAAACTCTCCAGGAGGATTCAAAGAAACTGGTTTTATTGGTTGCCTCTTGGAGGGAAAATGGGGGATCTGCTTTTCTGTAAACAATTTGAACTTGAAAAAAAAATCTTGAATATATTACTTAGACAAATTTGAAGAATACCAAAATAAGTAGCTACACTATTCATCTTCCATGAGATAGCATGGAAGAGTAGCCAAGTGCCTAGCTGATAACTCAGAAATCACAAATCCTCTCTCAACCTCATTTTTGTCATCTGTAAAATAGGGATATTGATAATATCTACTGCACAGGGCTATTTTAAAGATTAATTAAAATATTGTATATGAAAAGGGGATTAATATAAAAAGTTCTATGCAAATGCTTATTTTATTAGTATTATAAACAACTACATGATTATATTCAATAATATGTATTGATGACATTCTGTTTTTTATTATTGTCATGACAGGTTAAAACTGGTTCATAAGCAGCTAATATCTCTGAGTAGTGATCATAGTAATTGATAATAATAGCATGGAAAAAAGTACGGTTTAAAGCAAGAAGTAGCTAGGCATAGTGGCTTATGCCTGTAATCCCAGCACTTTGGGAGGTTGAGGCAGGAGGGGATCACATGAGGCCAGGAGTTCAAGACCAGCATGGGCAACATAGTGAGATGCTGTCCTGCAAAAAATAGAAAATAAATTTGCTGGGTGTAGTGGTGCATGCTTGCAGTTTAGCTGCTGAAATGGGAGGATTCCTGGAACCCAGGAGTTCAAGGCTGCAGTAGGTTATGATTGCACGACTGCACTCCAGCCTGCTTGACAGAGAGAGAGCCCACAGAGGGAAAGGGGAAGGGAAGGAAGGAAAAGTGAAAGGGAGGAAGGAATAGGGGGAGGAAGGGAGAAAGGGAGGAGGGAAGGGAGGGAGGGAGGAAGGAATGAAGAAAGAAAGGAAGAGACGGAGGGAGCGAGGGAAGGAAGGGAAGGAAGGAAAGAAGAAAAAGAAATGTAGGAAGGAAAGAAAGGGTGAAAAGATAAAGTTTCTGTTCTCATGGTCACTATTTGATCAACTGAAGGACTCGATATACACACAACCGATTTTATTATGTCATATGTACCTTATTTGCACAAAGGCACACAGGTGGTCTTAGCCCAAACTGAAAGATAAATTAATTATTATTTTTAAATAATGAGGAAAATGAAAGATCAACCTGCTGAGAGAGACAGATACTAAAATTATGCCTGCATGAGTGAATGTCTGAGTAGGGGAAAAATAATATTACCACACAAAGGGGTCAAAAGTCACCGGTCAACAATATGAACGTAAAATGTTCGTTTGTCAAATGCACTCATCCAAAAGGTATAACAGTATTCTTTAGGTTTCAGTTGAGCTTTTCCTTTCTAAATGAACTTATACCCAGAGTCATTTTGGATTAAGCTAGAAAAGAAGCCAAAAGCAAATAGTGTTCACTGCGAGACTAAGTAGATGGAAATTAGTGCCTCAAAAAAGAAATAAAAATAAAAAACTAATAAATTCATTTACCTTGAAATGGACGTATCTCCGCTTTTGTTTTTTCTTTCAAATTTGTTATCTGTTCTGTGTGTTTAGCTTGGTCTGATGTGATTGTCTTGTAAGCCTGAAAGTAAATGTATGCTTAGGTTTATTTCTTGAGCTTTAAGATTCATCATGCCACATCCAAAGGTACACTCAATTCTCTGTGTAATCATCATTAGAAGTTTAAACCATAATCCCAATGTAGCAAAGAAGAGAAACCAATGCACACCACTTACTCTTTTACTTCCCTTTTGGAAACCTTGTCATTAAGTAGAATGCTTTAGGAAGGAAGAAGGGTGAGAGGAGGGTTAGAAGAGAAAAACTTCCTATTGAGTACCATACTTACTACCTGGGTGACAAAACAGTCTCTATATCAAACCCCCATGACACACAATTTACCTATTAACAAATCTGCACATGTACCCCTTAATCTAAAATAAATTTTTTTAAAAAGGGAAGGAAATAGATGCTCTAACTTAGCTAGAGATAACTAACAACAAGGAAGAAAAAAATAAATTATGCTACAACCAGAATATCCTGACAGGCATTTACAAATATTCTCTAGCATTTATCCTAGAGAAATGGAAATCTAGGTTCACATAAAAACCTGTACACAAATGTTCATGCTACCTTTATTTGTAATAGTCAAAAGCAGAAATCAGGCCAGGTGTAGTGGCTCAGGCCTGTAATCCCAGCACTTTGGGAGGCAGAGGCAGGCAGATCACCTGAGGTCAGGAGTTTGAGACCAGCCTGGCCAACATGATGAAACCCTGTCTCTACTAAAAATACAAAAGAAACCAGGTGAGGTGGCTCATGCCTTTAATCCCAGTACTTTGGGAGGCTGAGGCAGGCAGATCGTGAGGTCAGGTGTTCAAGACCAGCCTGACCAACATGGTGAAACCCCAACTCTACTAAAAATATAAAAATTAGCCTGGTGTGTTGACATGCACCTGTATTCCCAGCTACTCAGGAGACTGAGGTAGAAGAATTGCTTGAACCTGGGAGGCAGAGGTTGCAGTAAGCCAAGATTGCGCCACTGCACTCCAGCCTGGGTGATGGAGTGAGACTCTGT